GATGGCTGTCCTTTAAAGAAAAAAGAATCAAAGGTCTCAGGAGAGAGAGGAACATAATGGAGTGACCTTCAGCTAATAAAGCCCACCTCAGAGTCCATGGAAGCTTGGGGAATATTGACAAAAGTTCATATTTACAACGGCCTGGATGCCTTCCAGAAATCATGACCAATTTAGTGAGCCAGAGGCTGTCGTCAGCCTTTCTCTCTCTGAGGGAAAAGAATGAACAAAAGAGATCAACAGAAAATGTCTCCTCTTCCTTTCTCCTTTCCTTCATGTTAACTGCAAAAATAAGATGGAGCACAGTCATTCTTATTAATGAGGCACATATGCTCCCCCACCCCACCTACTAAGGCATCTTATATTGAGGCCAGCTCCCCACCCAAAAAAAAGGCCCAGCAAAGGACTGTTTGCACACTCACTTAATGCACAGCCCTCAACTTTTAAAAAGGGAATATCTGGAAGCTTTCCTTACAAGCACTACTAGGCGACACCCTAAGGGGGTGTGTGACAATACTGTTCCCCAAACATCTGCCTTTTGGTTGTGGGGTTTGTCTGTGTCCCTTTTAAATGCTGGAGGGATGGTGTGAGTGGGGTGAGGTTCAGTGGCAGGAAAAAGGAGAGGCCCCAGGGTTGTTTTTTTTTAATATAAATATAAATTAAAAATTTAAATTCCATAATTTCTTTTAAAAGGTTTATTGTTTTAAAGTTTTCTTTAGAAACATCACATCTTACCAAATTTTCATTTCAACTAAACAAAACTATGTGCACATAAATACATTTAGGCTAAGTGTATGATATTGTAATTTCAAGGTATAGCTTCATCTTGCTAGTTGTTTATGGCACAACTACTGCCATGACATTCAGTGATATACAGGAATTACAATTTATTAGTAACATTAGTACACTTTTTTTTTTAAACTAAGGATACACAATACTAAAGATTGTGGTTGGCCCCAGAAAGATATCCCTATTTTGCGGATTTTGGATGATGCTGTACTTTGCTATATGGCCAAGAAGGTATGGAAAGATATGCAAGTTGCCCCAGGGAGTCACTAGGGTTGGTGTCACCCGGTGTGGCAAATCATGGTGTCAACCCCCCCCCCCAATTGTCTTCTATATCACATCATACAGAATACTAAAAATTCTTTATGGTGTTGTATGGGACAAGACTGATGGGTGTGTGTGTGTGTGTGTGTGTGACACATGAGTTACCGCATTGGGTGACACCAATCCTAGTGATGCCACTGACTTCTTTACAGTGGACTCTTCCCATCCACGAGGGTTCGTTCTGGGGGCCCACATGAATGGGAAAAAACATGGAAAATCACACCCCCTATTATTCAATGGGCAGTGACATGCACATGTTTGCGTCAATGTGTCAGCATCCATGTGTCGCCACTGAATAATATGGGGTGTGATGAGCTGTGGGCACTCCAATCCTTAGCCCACCGATGCGGCAAGCCCATTGCATATAAGAATACACCATTTCTCCTGGCCCTCTCAGGAGGAAACAGCAACTTCACCAGATTTGGAATTCCTGGCCACAATAACAACAAGGAAAATGGGACTGCACAAATGCTGCCAAGGCTGCAACTATAGGATGTTTTCATCCTTTTCTAAGCTTGAGATATGTTCCAGTTCCAAGCCAGGTTTGGAAGCACATCTTCTATTCTTAACACCCCTTTTTAAGGCCACCCAGAGATCAGTATTCTCTGCCCTTTTCACAGTCCATTGAACAGATTATAGCAAAGGATAGTAGATGCACACACTGTACTAAAATATGCTAGCTTTTTTAGTGGATGCAGAAGACGACAAGTTTTTCTGCAGTTAATACATTCCATGAGTAATAAAATAATGATATTCATTGTTACAAGCATTAATATACATGGTGGTAGAACAACATCAGAAGTATCCTCATTCCTCCAGTGGTAGAACAATCTTTCCACTACTGAAGTTTGAAGTACTTCTGACAACTGGTCATGTATATTCTCCCAACAAGAGTTAATTAACAAGACAGGTGGTTTGCTAACAAATGTCAAATACGAGTGCATGCAAAGCTTTTGATATCTCTTAGGAGGAACACGGCTGTTGCCACTACTGTTTGGAGCTGCTGTCTAAATTTTGACAACACAGACCCTGGAGGTTTCCATCTATTCTCTTTCCCAATTAGACCAGATTCTCACTTCGGTTGCAAAACTGTGTCTGGAATTTGAGACTGCAGATGAGGGCTGATGTGACTGAATCCTCTTCTGTACAAATAACCCTTTCCCCTGCCCACTGCAAGCCTTGCTTGGTGACCAGGAGCAGTGACCCTCCATGGTCTAGGTAGGCAATCTTTTCCTTTTAAGGGCCGAGGTACTTCAGCTCCCAGAAGCCTCAGCCATGTT